AAGAGGATTTTGTTTTTACAAATAAAATAACGTTAAAAAAATATTAAATTTTAATAGATATGATTATTTTCATATGTATTTTAGTCTGATTTTGAAATTAAATACTCTGAGAACTTGAAGGAATTTATTAACTATTACTAATTTATTACAAAAACCGAGAAATAAAAAAATTGAGTTATCACAGAGTCATTGAAAGAAATTAACATGACAAAGATGTAAATTTTTATCTACATATGTACAGATAGCTGTGATTAAAGAAAATTTTGATATAATTCTTTTACAAATTGTCTAGTGATAAATTTTATTATGAACTTCCTGAACAAGCTTATATCTTTAAAGGTACCCACAATTGAAAAGAATTACATGATATGGATTTGCATTTTAAATTTAGTATAAATGCTCTTAAATTTGGTATAAATGAATAAAGATTCGCAATTTGATAATAAAGTCAAGCTGTGGATTCCCTTAGAGCGATGGCACAAATTATATTAGATTTTCTTATTACTTTAACTTCGCGTAGGTTCATCGCCTCCTCCCAGGAATAGTACTTTCTCTTCATTCTTTTTATAGCCACCTTTTCCCCAGTATCGATACGTTCCCCAAGAACCACGGAACCGAACGTTCCGTCCCCCAATTGGTTTAATGTTATGTATCGATTCATTTTCATCGACGTTCGTACTGTCGAAGATTTAGAACATTTCTTCAGCTTGTGGACTAATCGTTCGTCTCAAATGCATCTCTGGACGCATCATATTCATCTCTGAAACAGAAGTTGCTTGTTTCTTTCGTGAGATGAACAACAACTGTTTAATATTAAATTAATTTATAATAAATTATAACTTTGAAATGTAATCCTGTTGTGCTTCAATCGCACGCTCAGTTTATAATGCTTCAAGACGTTTAACATGAAATTTAATCGAAAAATCGTATATACTAATACTTTCTCATATTTTGTTCAAATTTCAACATATTTAATTTTAGAAAAAATGATCGGCAGAAAGCAGCAGCAGAGTTAATAATATTCTATCACGATGAATTGTATCACACGCAAACTTTATTTCAATATTATCGTTCCATGATAATATTGTTACAATTTAGCATCGTTGCAAATAATAACTGTTTTTATACGATACGACAATATATGATAGAGCGTTAGGAAGTTCAATACATAACAGTAATGTATTAATCACTACATAAACAATTATAATAAGCTCGATAAATTGTTGTTGACTGATAGATATACATATGTCAAATTGCTGAAAAGATAATTATTTGCAATAAATAACTTGTCTATTCGAACATTCAAACCGTGGTATCAAGTATTTATTCTTGTATTTATAATTATACATTAATTATGTAACGTTGGAGTTTCCATACATCATTATTATTATTAAGTGCTCATAGACTTCATACAAGTTCTCTACTTGCATCAATGTGTGCGATTATGATAAATAATATAAAAGGAAAGGAACATCAAAATGTTTTACTACCTGTGTGTGTTTTCAAAGAACAAAAACAAACATTTTTCTCCAGAATGGATATCTAGAAATATGTATTTTTAAATATGTACTAAAAGATTCGATAAAATTAACAATCATTTCATTTTATATTCCTCTCATTGTCTGACATTGCCAGCTAATTATTAAACTCAATAAGATTCATTTACATTGCATCATCTCGGGTAAAAAATTAAATAGATTAGAAAATTAATTTTCACGCTTCGTTATTTTTCTTTACATAATCGTAGAAAGAAAAAGAAAATGTTTTATTAAGTAAATCTAATTGCCCTCCTTCTCATACATATTTTATCTTTCTCTGACAACGAGATTTCGTATAATCAATCAATTATTATAGCTCAATAAAGTGTGTTTACAGATTAAAACTATTCCCGTATAAGTTCACATTACATCATTCGGGATGGCACATAAAATTAAAGATTACTGTTCATTGAAATTAATCTTATCTATTTCTCGCGAATTATCACGATGATAATTGTGAGGAACTACTGTTCGTGATATCAGAAATACCGATGACGATCGTGAACGACTGCGAAAAATCTTTAATCGAGAAACGTAGTGAAATCGATCTGATGATGAGGCAGTATATACACTTCAACTTGTATATACCATTTGTTGGAAACTGTTTCGAGTTTAAAATTTCATTTCATTGCTTAAGGAGTATCGACAGGAAACGCTGACATACCGTTCGTAAAATATGAATCGCTATGCTGGTACCAACATGCACAGCCTGATAACTGAATTTCAATTACTTTCAAACACAGCGATACTCGGAATCGATCGACGAACGCATTTTGCTAAAGACACGTGTGCTCTATGCACTCTATACATGACTAAATAATTAGATGACATTTTGCATATGAAATTGATATAAAAAACGGAGAACAGAATTGTCGTCACTCGATCGTCAAACAGAAAATCAAGAAAAAACAGAGAGACTGGTTATGACTATAAAGCATTAATCATTAATTTGCTATGCAAATATATGCAAAATACGTGAATATGATGCACGATATGCAAAATACGTAAAATGGAATGAAAATAGGGAAAATATTCGAAGTAATACTCTGTAATATTTAGAAGTAATTTTCCATTCCTTAGAATCTACTATTCTATATTCTGTAATGTATTAATATATAATAATAATAATAATGTAATGATTATTTCGTTCAATTACTCTGATATTAGATTTCTTTTTAATTACATTCATAAAATTATAAATTTGTCTAAAAATATTCACGGTCTACTTATAACTCTAAGACTTCAGAACTCTGAAACTTGGAAACTTGAAATGTTTCAAATTTAGAGCTTTCTTATTTAGGATTTCGATATTTCAGCTACTGTTTCTACAAATGAAATGCAATAAATTATCGAACTTTCCATCATTTTATTATACTGCTGAATGGCCAATGCTTCCAATAATTATTTTTTTCTAATTTCTAATTCCGATTTGTAATTTAAATGTTAAAATTGCACGCAGGACCAGTAGTTTTTCAATCAGTCGCAAGTGTAATAATTTTGTCCCGCGAGAAAGAGAATCGTAATAGAGGTCAACATCGAGATTAGCACTTTCCTTACGTTCGCATGCGACCAATCTCCGTCACGAGTAGTCATGCGAGGATATAGATTTTCTTAGGTCTTACGATTCAAGAAAACGGATGAATATACATACGTAGATACGTATAATGGGTCACTACGAAGTTCTGACCTTCCTGTCAAAAAACAATAGCGTTGCATTACGATTCCGATTGACTCTGTGTGTCTCTAGTTTTTAGTTAATTCGCCTTGTTTCTTTCATGTAATTTATTGAAATGGAAACATGAAAATTATTGAGATTTTGTGTGCAATAAATTGTGTGCATTACAAAACATTATTTTAATTTTATGTTTTATAAAAATTCGATCTCATCATTCTGGGTGTCGATGTATTTCTAGTCGGCTCTTTTAATTTTATATTGAAATGCAATGTTATTTTATATATATATATATATTATATATACATATTACATATATATATATAATATGT